TGGGTCTGTTTAGCCTGGAGAAGAGAAGGTTAAGAGGGGATATGATAGTGCTCTTTAAACATTTGAAAGGATGTCATATTGAGGAGGGAGCAAGCTTGTTTTCTGCTGCTCCAGAGAATAGGACCCGGAACAATGGATACAAGCTCCAGGAAAAAGAGATTCCACCTCAACATTAGGAGGAACTTCCTGATGGTAAGAGGGTGGAAGACGTTGCCTTGGAGGGTGGTGGAGTCTCCTCCTTTGGAGGCTGTTTTTAAACAGAGACCCCATCTGTTGGGGGTGCTTTGATTGTGTATTCCTGCATGGCAGGGTGTTAGACTGGATGGCCCTTGGGGTCTCTTCCAACTCTATGATTCTTTGAGGAATTTAAACAGAGGTCAGATGGACATTTTTTAGGAGTGCTTTAGTTGCCTGGCAGAATGGGGTTGGACTGGATAGCCCTTAGGGTCCCTTGTGTGATGCTGTGATGCCATTGTGTGTGTTTTCTCCTTCTCTTCCTCAGGGTGGCATTTATTGGTTCACCCTCATTGACGCCTACAGCACGAGCTTCGGCCTCATCATCATTGCTCTCTTCATGTGCCTCGGAGTGGCCTTCTTTTATGGTGAGTCCCCTGCGTCAAAACAATCACATGAGAGATGTTTTGTTTTGTTTTGAAAGGTCTGGCTTGTGTTGGGCAGCCTCCCTGTATGAACATTAGAAGCCATGTTCCTTCCAGACATAAAGGATTGCTGTTGATGTTGCTTAGAGGAGGGATGGGCAACTGCTTTGGGTCTGTGAGCCAATTTTCTGCCCGAAATGCAAAAAAGAACAGCAAACAGTCGTGGCCACTTCTTGTTTTGAAAAAAAGGATGTTTAAACAATTCAGTGCAAGATAGTACGCAAAACTTGTTTAAAAGGTGCATTGTCTGTTCCAGTGGCTTCTGGTAGAGATTCCACTCCACCCCCCTTTTTTAAAACTTTTGTATGATTTTTAACAAATTTTACAGTGCTTTAATATGGTGTTTTAAAATTGGTTTTAAACTTTTTGTAAAAGTTTTTAATTTGTTGCTATGGAAGCCACTTTGGGTCTCGATCTGGGAGAAAGATGGCATGTAAATAAAATAATAAATAAAAATAAATAATATAAAATTCACCCCTTTGGGAGAGAAAATGGGTAGTTCACAGAACTCTGTGTGTGTGCGCATGCGCATGCAAGGACCATAAAAACATCCTTTGAGGGCCACTCTTTCTCCACCACCCCAGATTACAGAATTACGGTACCTGATTGTGGGGTGCAGGCGGTTGGCTAGAGGGGTGCGTGTCCCAATTGGGGAAGGGGAGATGGCTCCCACCGTACAGTTGTCCCACCAACTGACCTCTTTCTCTTCTCTTTTGCTTGGCTCTCCACCCCACCCCATGCCATCCTCCCCCTTCTCAGGGGTGAACCAGTTTTGCCGAGACATCGTGGACATGATCAGCCGGTGCCCGCCCTGGTGCAGCCAGCTGGTGCTCTACTTCAAAGCCTGCTGGGTGGTTTTTACCCCGGGGCTCCTCTTGGTAAGTTGGCATGGGCATTCTTCTCCACCAGTGGATTTGGGGGCGACAGTGGAGCCGAGGAGGGAGACGGGGTTTTTATATATGGCACACTGCTCACTTCATGCAGGAAATGGGACACCATCTGCTCATTCTAGAACAGGGGTAGGCAACCTTTCCCCTTTAAGGACCGAGGGACTTCAGCTCCCAGAAGCCTCAACCATGTTGGCCAATAGTCCCATGTTGGCCAATAGCTCCTGGGATTCTGGGAGCTGAAGTCCCTCGGCCCTTAAAGGGGAAAGGTTGCCTACCCCTGTTCTAGAATATCAGGCAGAAAGAGAGAATAATAGAATCATAGGGTTGGAAGAGCCTACAAAGGCTATCCAGTCCAACCCCATTCTGCCATGTAGGATTGTGAGTTCCTGTATGGTAGAATGGGGTTGGACTGGATGGCCCTTGTGGTCTCTTCCAACTCTATGATTCTCTCTATGAAAGACACAATCCAAGCCCTCCCTGGGACAGATGGCCATCCAGCCTCTGCTTAAAAACCTCCAAAGAAGGAGACTCCACCACCCTCCATTGAGGCAGCAGCATCCTCCATATTGAACTGCTCTTACTGTCAGAAAGGTCTTCCTAAGGTTGAGGTGGAATCCCTTTTTCCCATAGTTTGAATACATTGCTCTGTGGGGTTCCAAGGGTGGGGTTCTGGACCCATCTGGACAAAACAGAATGGACTCATGGACAGAACGGCAGAGTTGGAAGGGATCCCCAATGGCCATCCAGTTTGTGGTGATGCAGGAACTCCACTGCTTCAGCATCTCCAGAAGTCAATGGGCATTTGAGCTTTGCTGAACAGCATTCAATGAGAAAAAGACCACCACTATCTTCTGAG